GAATGACCTCATGTTTATAAGACGGCGCATTCTCGTGCCAGAGGGGGTCACGCAAAAGTGATTCTGAATATGAAGTTTCGTAGTTTCTTGAGATTAACCGCTTCTCCTTCATATTCATGAGATACTCTTTCCCCTAGTGAATTTTCCGTGTTCTACATCGCAGTTCCTTTTGTATTTTATGTAACCACATAAAGAACGAATTCACACTGGAAAGACCCATTTCAAATTAAGTTAGCGACGGTGAGTGGTACACTAAATAAAGAAGAACCATGAGAAACAGACCAGAACCCTAGAAATGAGACCCCTCCACTGCCCGTTGATTTGAGCATTGATGAGACTATCATAGCTGTGCCCTCTTCAACACAACGCTCCCTCACCTATCTAATCACGCCACGTATAGATCTGCGGCGAGTGATCAGATGATCGGCGGGCGTGCACTGGCCCACCGCGCCAAGACTGAACCTTAATAGGTCGCCGAAGTCAACTTTTTCGGTGCAAATTGCGGTTCAGTCCGCACCCTCAGGAGGTCCGCGGGTCCCTCAACTGGGTGAATTGCTCCTTCTTCGGCCTTCACTCTCATCGTGAATTCGTCCTCTGATGGTGTTGGTTCCGTCCGGTCATATGCTGTTTGTACATGATTTTCTATTTTCTTTTACTGCGTTTGCTTTAGCAGCGTAATAAACACAACGTAACATAACGAAATTTGGATGGGAGGTGAGACACCTTGCTCACAAATCAATCCCCTATCTCACGAGGCCAGAAAAGCCAAATTTGCGGTGGGTCAACATGTTAAAGGACGAATTCACGATGAAAAAGCAACCCATTTCAAATTAACTAGGGATGGTGAGTGGTACAAGAAAGAAGGAAGAACCATGAGAAACTGCCCAGAACCCGAGAAATGGTACCCCTTCCTTGCCCGTTGATACGAGCGTTGATGCGACTATCATCGCTGTGCCCTCTTCAACACTACGCTCTCTCAGCTATCTAATCACTCGCTAAGTATTGAACTACGGCGAGTGATCAAATGATCGGTGTGCGCAGATCGCCGAACCCGCCAGCTTTGAGGCATGATAGGTCGCCGGGGTTAAATTTTTCCATGCGAATTGCGCGTCAGTTCGCACCCTCAGGAGGTTCGTGGGTCCCTCAACTAGGTCAGTTTCCCTTTCTTCGACCTTCATTCTAATCGTAAATTCCTCCTTTAAATGGCAGCTCACTGAGTCGATGCAGTCTTATTACCTTAATTCTGCCCGCCCTATACATCATATCAAAACACCGGCGCTCATTTCATATAGGGGACATTTTATACAAGACACTTAAAAACCGAGGAGTAGGCCTAAGCCCAGGACAGGAGAGAAAGGACAGGAAGGCCAGAAATTCATATTCTTATTAAATTTAAATCAAAGCTACAAAAACAGATCGTCAAAATAAGTAAAAACATATTTCCGATGAGCGAAAGAAACAAATGCGGCCAAAAGGAGGTCTGTCAGAACATGGAGTGGAAATCCAGCGCAGAAGGGCAGCTGCCTACAACATTGCAAACTCAAAAGGCATGGAATTAGAGCTCCTGGTACCAACTTACTAGGTCCGCCAACCTTGCCGAAATCCAGTTACATGGCAGAAGTCCTTGGGAGGGGAGGGGAAAATAAATCAAGCTCAGTATAATCAAGGAAATCACAAAAAGTACATCACTTCATTATATCAGAAGTTTGGTGTGTCGGTGTTTGTGTGTATGCACGTCTGGCTGCCCGTCCGCAATTGAAGTGAGTGATAAGGCTGTCAATGGAGTAAACAGGCCGCTAACAAATCTGGGTAGCTTGCAGGGCTTGCCTTATCACTGTTTTGCAATGGCATCGTTGTGATAACAGAACAGTGGCTATATGAACACCTGTTCAGCACTCTCTTGGTTATTCACACTGTGCAACACAGGCGGTAGAGCAGTGTAGAGGGGAGAGGAGGAAATGGAGAAGAGGTGGAGGAAATCTCTTCAAAGTGGAAGGCGTCAAGATCATGCAGTGAAGAAAGGTTCCGGTACCTCTGGGGACGCTGTACATCCATGGGCCGGAAATCACGCGACAAATTCGGGCGAGATTTAGGCATTCACTGCTTCAGGCGCCTGTGTATTCTTCAGTTAGTTTCCTTTCTCTCCTTTTCCTTTCGTTTTATTTTCTTCCAATCCTTCTTGATTTTTTCTTTACTTTATTATACTACCTGTGTCGAAATTAAATTTGACTCAAACACACAGTCAGCTCTTCACTTATGTACAGTCGAAATCTCGGCATGATTGGGCGTGTCACTGGAAATGACGTGGTAGCCACCGCACTTGATAGAAGTGCGCGGATAAGCTGCCTCCAACATTCTTTGCGGATATTTGGCGGAGTATTTTATCCTCACAACATCTATCAAGTGCGGTGCCTGCCACGTCATTTCCAGTGACACGCCCAATAATACTTCAAGATATCGACTGTAAATAGGCATAGTTCATTTTAATTCTGAGACTGACAGCAATCTTATTCACCGCTATATTATCTGAATTCAAGAAGAATGCTGGATGTTTACTGTTGTGTGTGATTATCCCAATGCCGCTCCAAACGTTATCACGCGTATTCTCGATGGACATGCTGATATTCCATGGGTCTTTCAGTTTCACTAAAGCCTGCCGTGTGATGCGCGCAAAACTGGTAAAAATATAGTGTAACATAAAAGCACTACCGTCACAAAACAATACATCCAAGAGAGATGTATAATACGCCGCTTCTCTGCCCCATCAAATTAGAAGAGTTTAGCTCGTATGCTGGGAACCAACCTTTAGAAACCACAATCTATCTCCCCGTTCTCTTGAATGACTGAGAGTGCTTGAGTTTACACGGAGGAAGACAAATAATCCCAAATGCTAACAGCTCTTTGAGTGAATGAGTTACAAAATTCTGTGAAAGTAGTTTTCACTCTTATGGGCCTGTAGCTATGCCCTCGTGTCTGCCCCATTGTAGACGACTTTTTGAAGAGAGCGTCAGAATGCATTTCTACAATACCGGCAGAAATCTTACAAATGAAATCGTAATCGAATATTTTCTCCTCATTTCCAAAGAGTCTTCGTTGAGATGCCAGCCTGTCTTTATATGACATATGAAAGTTGATCGACCTTCCCCAGAAACACTTCTCATAACTGAGGCTTATTCTCAAGTATCTCTCTATTTTACAAGCCGTTAACTTGGTGTTTCAGCTTGTATGTCCATATGTATGTAGGCCTGCGTGTCCGTCAACAAAATGGAGTGATAAGGTAGCTAATGGAATAGACAAGCCGCTAACAAATCTGGATAATCTTGTCTGACTTGCGCCATCAATGTTTTGCAATGACATGATTGTGATAACACTTCAAGAGCTATTACGTACCTACTTAGCGCACTATCGGTCATTCCACATGGTGCTACAGTGGCAGGTGGAGAGCAGTGGAGAGCGGAGGGTAGGATAAGGAGCAGGGTGAATAGCGGTCGAGGATTTCCTCGACCATAGCTCTCTACCATGTGAGAGTAGTGCTGAGAGTGAACATCACAGACGGAGAGCACAGGCACGCCATGGCGAGTGTGAATGTCCGCGCGAGAGATCGTGTCTGACCGCGCAGAGAATCCTCGACGTGCCGCTGAGGAATCCTCAAGCGATATTCACCCTGATAAGGAGGGAAACCATTCCCCAACAGATCTAGGGAACAGTTAAGTAATCAATGTCATTTATACATAGTTCCGCGTCATTTGTTATGAGGCCCTCTACAGTATGCCTTTTTGCGCATAAGCCTCGCTTCGGAGAGGTGTTGCTGCCACAAGTGGAAGAGAACACAGTGGACAGAAAGCTCTCGCAGGGAAGCGAGATTCCGATGTAAACCAAAACAAACTCAATTTTTTTACTTGTTTTTATCTTATCGTGAACAATGGATCTCAAGCCAGTGATTTATGGGTGAGATAGATTCATAATTTTCCCTGGAAGGATTCCTTCAATGTCCCCCAGGGAGAAAATCGGTCGAGGATTAGTAGGAGTTCTACACGTCCTCCCGCGAGCACACCACTCTCGCCATGCGCGAGGCGCCTGTCTCTACGCGCGTACATTCACTCCTGACACACAAAACACAGTCAGCGCCACAAAAACTATCTGTACTTGTCCCAAGAGCCACAGTTTTGCGCGACTGATCCCAAGTTGTTGTTTTTGTGCTGGACTTTTTTTTATAGGCACACTCTTCCTTATAAACATGGAAATCTCAGCTGCTCTTTTTCACGTGTGGCTTTTCATACGTGATAAATTTATACTTTCACGCAGGTATGAAATTAGGATTTATTAGAGAAAATCACGACACGGTGATAAAAAATAAATACCCGAAAGGAGAGTTGAAACACTGGCGACTTAGTCTATGCTAGGGTAAGCACTAGAGAATTGATTTCTCTTCACCCATTATTACTAGGAATTGCCAGCAAGACTATCCCATGGGAACTTGAGATAATTTGTCACCAGTGCAACACGCGGAATAGCAACATACAGGAAATACGAACTAGGATAATACGTGAGATTCACCAGACAACTAGCTGCGAAAAAAGTAAGCAAATTCTAAACCCATAGGGAACTGCTATTCGTCATCAAATCGACGGAAAGTGTACAGCAGAACCGAAAAAGGATCGATCGGAAGCATAGAGATGAGTAGCATTATGGTAGTGAGCGCGTGTGGTGATGACCACTAGAGCACTAACCACTACCCACACGAAACGATTATGTTCCACTGATAAGTGTACACCAAATGGACGAGGATGGGGAACATCACAATCATGAAGATCACAACATAGGAAGCGTAAGCGACGAAAGGGAGGCGAAAATAAGTCAATAACAAGAAATGTTAGTGATAATAATTGAAAATTATTAATAACTTAACTTATATCCTATATTATATTACTACAATAAATAGAATTTAGTGTTCTAAAATAAGAAAGGAACAAGTCGGAAGAGAATCTACTCGAATCAATCTACGTTTGTGCACGTAGTCGCAGGAAGCAGTTCTGGCAAACGCGTACAGGACGTGAAATCTTCATGTGAGTGATATGTGACTCAAAGCGGCTGCACCTGTAATACAGGAGACTTTAAAAAATGACTAATCAATGAGCTCAGGGACAACTCAGCACCAAAATTTCGAGGAATGGGATAATCTCAATGATTCCACAGATAGGATTAGTTCTAACGAGTGTTGGATGGCTAGGGTAATTAAAAAATGAGCGCTTCTAGGCCTCACTGACAATGAGACCTTTCTTTCTGGTAGAAAAAGGGCAATAAGCGCTGCGCTGCAAACACTAAAACTATGTGTGCGTTCAGTAACACCTCCTAAAAACAAATGAGTTTTTGAAGTCGATCAACGGGAACCTTCCGGTTTTCTCTTTATTTGCAACTAGACCACTATTTTACAGCGTTCTTTTTTCAAAAACACAGGTCAGCTTTAACTCACTTGGCGCAGAAAATCTGTCCGCAATTTCTACAGTGGTGTTTCCGATCGGCTATAGAGAATTTGTGTTGGCACTGTGTACATCTCTGCCTCGATACATCCTGAAATAAGCTATTGAATGGCGCTTACCTGTGACAACACATAAGTGTCAGAAGAGCATGAAAAAAAGCAAAGGGATATCGGGAAAATGACTAACCTGCACCCAGTGATCCGCTCGACCACCATCTTCACCAGCTTGCCAGCACCACACCCTTCCGATGCCATCCCCGACCAAGAACGATTTGTGATCTCTGGAAGACAATGCTCTAATTGTCCAGCGCCTAACACAGAAAAACGGCAACAGCAACGAAAAATCTGAACCGTACTTGCTTGGTGCCAAACAGGTGATCGGAGCTGGGTGGGTATTGTCCGGTCTATTGAACGCTGTGTGGACAGTCAAAGCAGCGCGCTGCATAAGAACTCGCACATATTGAGGACAAGATGATTTGTCTCCGCCTGTAATTGCTTGGAATTATTAAGTACTAAAATATTCAGCTTCGTATTTTTTCACTATGGCTTTCAGACAGAAAATTTTTCATTCAATGCCACTAACACGACTCGACAACATTTCCCTCCAAAAGTGTGAGTCAAATTTTACGTGCTTACAGCATAGAATTCGGAACCAATGGAGACAAAAAACAGGACAGTTCTAAAAACATTCGAGAAAACGTTACCTTCTACCTGCTAAATGTTACGCATGGACCAAAGAACTACATAGTCAATCAGACTAAGGTGCGAACTATACTACATGATGAATGAGGTAGAACTTCCAGTCAAGACTAGCGGTTTTTCCGGATCATTTGCTACATAGAACGCCTTTTTGCAAGTGTAAGTAGAGGTTTGCTAAGGAGGCAATTCGTGGAGGCCTTCTCCTATAGTGGATTCATCACGTCTTGAGTTATGAACGATTTTAGTCCGAGTTTATTTCAGTCCTTTCTCAAGTATACCAGTGAGCTTTCTTTTCGACTACAGGTGTACGCACATTTTCAAGTCCTCATTGTTCTCTCAAAACTCTTGAAAGATTGCTGAGCATCTTGAATAGCTTCGCCAAATGAAAATTGACCGTTAGTGCATTCTGCGGTCTTCAGCCCAATTTTGAAATTATTTAGTAAGTACATGATTTTGATCATCAGACTCAAGCATTTACTCAAACAAATAGAAGGCATTTTCTGTAAATCAACCACTGGGGAATTTAAACAATATGCTTAGAAAGAAGAGTTAACAAAAACATTACAGGAAATTAATTTGATTATTTGTTTGATTTGATATATATTAATTTTGAAGTTCAGAGACCGCAAGTTCTCGAGTACCTAATATTTCATAACTGCACCCTTCAAAAACATGATCTTAATCTCAAAAAAAAACTTATCAAAAGCACACATAGAGATTGATACAGTAATCACCTTTCGGTTGCGCTCCAGCTGCTATAGGACTGGTTGGTGGCTCAGGGCTATGAGCCTCACTTGTGTCCTGGCTTCCGCTCACCTTGAGGCGCCGGCGCACGCGATCCAGTCGTGCGTGTACGCTTGCAGATGAGGATGCACCTGGCTTCCTGTAAAAATGTTAAAGTGGTACGTCACTTCTTGAAGATGTAAGCTGCTGAAATATATAAACGTGTTCTAACAGAGTAAGTATTAAGATCTATGTCAAATTTTGCAACCATTTCCTAATAACATGTGTACTTAAATTATTTCTATGTGCTACAACTATTGAGCGCAACACAACCTCCAGTTTTCTTTTAATTTTACTGCGTGAATCAAATTCATAATGTTAAGAACTATAAAACAAGAGCTGCAATAAATATGATCAGTAGCGAGATAGACGTAGCCTTAAACACCACGGAAATCCATACCACAAAAAATGACCCAAAGGCCGACAACCTCCAAAAAAGCACAAGTAGAAATGAAAGATCGGCAGTGACCGCTTCATCTGCGACGCTTGACGCATTTGATTTCAAATCACTACATACAACAAATGCCATCTTTACATACATTTGATCTATTGTGCGTTTCATAACTGCGTGGTTATCGCCTCCGTAGCTATAACATTCTGAACAACTAAGGTAAACATGTTCCTTGTTGGTAAAGGTTTTCATATAACCAGGGTTCGATAATACTCCAACTAAAGAAGTACTGTTTAAGCTGATACTACACATGTATTTGAAGCTGAGGGGTCGGAAATAGCAAAAAATTCTGAACGACCTGGTAGGGGAGGTGGGCGGGAGCCGGACCTGTAGTCGACGAGTGCTTCAAAAGCAGTAACTGATGCTGATTTAGTACCAGTACATGAGCTTCAGAAAAAGTGATCTACAATGGGGTTGAATTTTGGTATTCCTTAATTCAGTGGTTTGGCTGTATAAACCAAACTCTTAAAGACGTTCCAATCCGCCCTTTGACTTATACTCGATATCCCAGAGTTGGGGTAGGCGTGTCACCGGAGCTGAAGTATAGAAGCTATGCGGATAAGCTGCCTTCAACGTAGATCACTGGATATCAGCAAAGCATGTTGACAACAGCTTACCACGCAACTTCTATCAAGTGCACGTCACTTCCAGTAACACGCCTACCTCAACTCTTGGATATCACTGTACTTACCGTAGCAGCCGTTATCACTAATACCTACAAAAAAAGGCACACTGCTGCAATCCATCGCTCACATCGCTCCTAATACAAGCCCTTCTACTACACACATTTGCTGCAACATACGTGATGTACTACGCACGTCATTTTGAATAAGTAAAACACAAAAGAGAAGAATGCCGGAGAATATAAACATACACTTGAGGCTCGATATGCGGCGCCTCGACAGATCCGTCGTTCTCCACCATTACACATGAATAGATCTTCACGACACCGTCGCTCGTCCCACAAACGACTACGTTGTCTGAGTCCCATTCGTTCATCTGAGAACAAAATTATTCTAACCATATCAAAAGGAGAGGGAGTTGAAGGAGCTTCTTCACCGTGCTGAAGGTAAGACTGAGGATCATCTGCGACGGATCCACGACTAGGTTTGAATCACATGTGTTGACTACAGCTAACAATTCGCCATTAATTGACCACAAATGCAGTAATGTCGAGCAAGATGTTGCAATATCTCCCTAAACGAAATCGAGTAAAGCTATCACTATTCACGATACTAAGTAGCCATTCAGTCTTACCGTAGTGTCGTTAATAGCCACAGCAGACACTGGACTCGGATGTGGCGGAAGTTGACGGATAAGAAACAGCTCCGATTGATGCCACAGAATTACTGAGCAATCACGACTGGCTGATACAACAAATGCATGAGCGGAACAGACAACCTAGAAATTTCATCAATAAAAAACGATGAGCTGAATACGTGGTTCTATTACTCACAACATAAAGGAGAACGGAAAGAATGAGTGACGAGGCAAATCCGGGATAAAGCTGATATATTATTTCGCTTGTAAGAGACAGTGAAGGTGTAAGGCCAGTAACGGCGAATACTTGGGCGCTAGCGCGTCAGCCTTGGAAGGTCATTGCACCAAGTAGGTGAATACCTGCGCTTGCGTTCCACTAGATATTTCTATACAAGTTTCGTTTCGTCTAGCAATCTCAGACTTTGCCTTCAAAGTACCTGCCGCAATAGAATCTCGTATTGAGTTCGTGAGAATCCCCTTCACTAGACATCCTTCGCATGCATAAACAACCAATGCATCTGGTTTTTTTCTCAGAAGAAATGAGTTCAAAAGATTATTCATACACCGCACCGTCACCACATCGTTATTCGCCTTTTGGTACCACGTTTCGAATATTTCTCCAAGCAATACTTATCCGTCAAATTATACACGAAACCTTCAAGCGGCTATTCAAATAGCACCTCCGATCTGTAGGTTCAGATAGCGTAACAGCATAATGGGGACCCAGTGCTTTTTTGCTAGCACTAAGTTCACTTCAAATCATTACTCAAAATTCTAATTATCTTTACCGTTTAGTAGCTTACCAGACATGTCACTGCATCCGAATGTCCATCCAGCAACTTCCGCCTTTTCAGCGAAACTGGTTTCCGGCAAAGAGTCCAGACACTGAAACAATTGAAGACCATTTCACCAACAAACTTCTCGACCAAACTTTAACTTGTGAGAATCTATAATCGATTGAAAAAAAAGCTAGGCGTACCTTACACATCCAGTGCTACTGCCACAGAATAACGTGCGATCATCACCACTTGCCACGCAAGTCAACTCATCCGCGTCACACATCTCATGAATGCAAGACGACTAAAAATATTAATACGTCCGGTTCAGAAGTAAAGCTAATAAAACAAGGTGAAAGGCCGAATTATGGAATACTCTCATCGTAAGCATGATGGGCTTCTATGTGAGTTTTTTCCACATATGAGTTACCAGTTGGCGCGGCACGCATTGCGCGCACAACACAGATCTGCGGCGCATTTCAATGCTTTCAAATTTGGCCTGATACACCACGAACATCTGACTTCTCAGCTAAATTTTATCCGCTCCATCATCGACAGCTTTCAACCTCTTTTTCTTCGTCAACCATTCTCCTCTTTTTCCCGGTCTCCGAGCGTTTCCGGACAATAAATCTCGTGGCAAACTCCGCCCACTTTGGTGCGTGCCCCGCCCACCAATGGCAGTTGCCCTCTTCCTATCGCCGACCTCTACCCCTTTTTCCCGGTCTCTGAGACCTCTTGAAGCCGAGTTATGAGTTTTCGTCGCAAACTCCGCCCACTTTGGTCAAGCCTCGCCCACCGATGACAGCTGGCCCCACTCCTCCACCCACCTTTGTCCCGACTTCCGGGACTCCTTGGAGCCGAGTTATGAATCTCCGTAAAACTCCGCCCACTTTGGCCGTGCCCCGCCCCCCAATGACGGTTGACCTCCACTCCCCCACCCACCTCTATCCACCTTTTTTCCCGGCCTACGGGACTTGTTGGAGCCGAGTTTTGAATTTTCGTCGCAAACTCCGTCCACTTTGGTCAAGCCCCGTCCACCATTGACAGCTGGCCTCCACTCCTCAATACACCTCTATCCACTTTTTTCCGGCTCTTCAAGACTTCCTCGGCCCCAATTATGAGGACTTGTAGAAAATGCCGCTCACTTCAGAGCGCGCCCCGCCCATTCTGGGCGGGCCTTCGCCCACGTCATGTATGCAAGAAACACATTAGACATTGCTCCCTTAAACCAAATTGTTTTCTGCTCTGTAGGCTTTCTCCCAACCAAGTTACGAAATTTTTCATAAAGCGCTGCTTTTTTGGAGAACGCCCCGCCTCTCCCTAATTCGATGTGACTTACCAATACACACCTTTACCCACTTTTTGGCCCAGTTTCGAGCTTGTTTTGTCACTGAAATCGAAACCTTGGTCTTGCACAGTTCATTTCTACGCACGCCACGCCCTCTGTGGGCGGGGCTCCGCTTAGCTGATGTGTGTTTTGTATTTTGTGAGACCTTGCTCATCCATTCCACACTTGAGCCGCTCCCTCCAGGCGGATCCCGAGGAGCTAGGGAATTTCGTGACAGACATACAGAACGACAGACGGACGACAGACAGACGACAGACAGAGACCGACGAAGCGCTTTATAGTAAGTACCAGTTGGCGCCGCACGCATTGCGCGCGCAACACAGATCTGCTGCGAACTTTGATGGTGCGACAAAAATTTTCATATTTGGCTTGATACACTACGAATATCTGAATCCTCTGCTAAATTCAATCCGCTCCATCATCGACGGCTTCCAACCTCTTTTTCTTCGTCAACCATTATTCGCTTTTTCCCGGTCTCCGGACTGCTTCCGGACAACAAATCTCGCGGCGAACTCCGCCTACCTCGGTGCGTGTTCCGCCCAGCAATAGCTCCCTTCCTTTCGCCGTCCTCTACCCCTTTTTTCACCGGTCTCTGGGACCTCTTGGAACCAAATTACGACACTTTTGACAAACTCCGACCAATTATGTGCATGCTCCACCCACTAATAGCAGTTGACCTCTTTTCCTTTGCCGGCCTCTACACCCTTTCTCCCGGCCTCCGGGACTTGTTGGAGTTGAGTTTTATATTTTCGTCGCAGACTCCGCACACTTTGGCCAAGCCTCGCCCACCGATGACAGCTGGCCTTCACTCCCGCCACCCACCTCCATCCACCTTTTCCCTGGCCTCCGGAGCTTCATGGAGCCGAGTTTTGAATTTACGTCGCAGACTCCGCCCATTTTGGCCAAGCTCCGCCCACCGATGACAGCTGGCCTTCACTCCCCCCACCCACCTCCATCCACCTTTTCCCCGGCCTCCGGAGCTTCATGGAGCCGAGTTTTGAATTTACGTCGCAGACTCCGCCCACTTTGCGCTTGCTCCACTCCTCCATACACCTCTATCCACCTTTTTCCGGCTCTTTAGGACTTCCCCGACCCGAATTATGAGGGCTTGTAGAAAATGCTGTACACTTCTGAGCGCGCCCCGCCCATTCTAGGCGGACCTCCGCCCACCTCATGTATGCGGGAAACACCTTAGACATTGCTCCCTTACACCGAATTGTTTTCTGCTCTGTAGGCTATCTCCCAACCGAGTTATGAAATTTTTCATAAAGCACTGCTTTTTTAGAGAACGCCCCGCTCACCGGGGGTGGGTCTCCCTAATTCGATGTTACTTACCAATGCACACCTTAGCCCACTTTTTGGCCCAGTTTTGAGGTCGTTTTTTCACTGAAATCGAAACCTTGGTCTTTGGTACAATTCATTTCGACGCACGCCACGCCCTCTGTGGGCGGGGCTCCGCTAGCTGATGTGTGTTTTGTATTACGTGAGACCCTGCCCACCCATCCCACACTTGACCCGGTCCCTCCAGGCGGATCCCGAGGAGCTAGGGAATTTCGTGACAGACATACAGAACGACAGACACACGACACACGACAGACGAAGCGCTTTATAGTAAGTAGGGTGATAATGCAGTCGCAGTGGACAGCTAAAAGCCCTCTTTAATACTTACCAGCGCGAGCTTTGGCATTTTCGGTCATGTAAGAAGAGCCGTTTTGCCAGCGTGTTGGTCTCCTCACATCCATGGATTTCATTAACTTTTTGTGCTCAAAAACACACAATAGAGAGAGAAAAAGGAACCAAAGCGAATCATTGAGGCAAGGAAAACAACGGTAGGGAATTTGAAAACAAGTAATTGAGCTGAAGTTGCGTTCTGTACAAACAATTGAGGGCATCCAGAAAAAAAAATTCTAGAAGAGATGGATGAGCTTGCGGGACAAGCCATGCGTTTCGTCCTAATCGTTTAGAAATAGAACGGAAAGCAAATTACAGTGCAGGAGATCTGCCTGAACGGTTTAGTTTAGCGTAAGGTAGCGACTCAACTTGAAAAGAGTTATCCTTCGCCACAACACGAAAAGAGGAGTGACTAATTACCCTTCACTGCCCCTACTCCTCCAGAACTGAGCCGGATCTTTATCGGAATTTGTCCACGAATAATTCTTTGGCTGGGAAGTTGTCTCTAGCGGTAGTTTTACCCGTAGAATACGAACATCACATTCGTTTACCGCTTGGCGTCCGCGCCGCAAGTAGCGGCGCCAAAAGGCGCCACAACAACTGAGTCACCAATTTGCTGCCAACTTGTCTTCAGAGGTAGTTAGACCCATAGAACACGAACATCACATTAGTTTGTCACGACTTAGCCTGTAGCCTGCGCTACGGGTGCCGGCATAAAACTGATGTGATAACGTCGGCGCCTGTGCCATGGACGCCATGCGTTTTCGCACTAAACCGACAAAATATTCGTGTTCTACGGGTTGAAATACCCCAGAGAGCTTTCTAGCCAAATGCTGAGTCATGCACAAATTCGATTAAAATCCGGCTTGGTTCGTGAGGTTTGGGGCAGTAAGGGTAAATAGTGTCGAAGATTACTACGTTGACGGTACGCGCCATACTCAGAATTCAGCCTAGACGCAGACCTGCGCCAGTCGATATCCACTTGATACACATGGGGTCATAGGAATTCAGCAGAACTTCGAAACACGGGTATACAGAGCATCCTCATGGAATAGGGAAGCCAGTTAGTGCTCGGCCACAAATACTGAGACATGCGCATAGCCTATAGTAGCTATCCTCTCCTGCTGTTGTGTTTATAGCGAATGGGATGATATAAGTATGTTTCGTTACATCACTGACCTTATCAGAATCGATCTGTCCCATACGAATTGAACGATCTGGATAACCCCACGCAATATATCGATTCGTACCAATCAAGACCTTGTTCTGTTCCAAGGCTATTAAACCAGCGCGCTCACTCTGGTATATTGATCCTACAGCAGATCGCAGTTCTGAAGTTCAAGTATTTAGGCGTGCAAGAAAATAATTGAAACTTAATCTTTTCTCACCTTTCACGGGGCTTTGTGGAGGTTTCAAAGAGTGCAGGCAATGGTAGAAAAGCCGCTGTGTCGTTACACCTGGAGTGTTCGAGAAACCATCAACTGGACTGACCTAAGAACACGAAAGGCTTCACGCTCCGAATCGTATAATTCAACCACCAAGATTGAGTTCAGACAGTTTTGACGCTACTAAGGGTAACCACTTTCAACACGTTGACAACCGCGTGAGGCACATCCGCTTCACACTTTGAACACCGCGTGAGACTGCGCGAAGAGCATGCGCCTCGGACCCATGTCATTTATTTGTTTACGCGCACGCACTGCTTCTTGCCATTTTTTGTATTTATTCTAATGTAATGTGACGGCACACGGAAGGGTTCACCGTATGATCAAATGAAGTTCACTTTAACGAAGGTTCTCCGCCCTTCAAATAGTCACTTTGGTTCTTTCGCGCTTTTCCTTGAGTTATAGTTAAGTGCATGAAAAAAGAAATAGAAGTAAAACTGATCTTTTATGTCAGAATATTTGTTTTTACTGGGACAACCGCGTCAAAAATACTTTTGAGTTCCACTACAGCGGGAGACTGAAATTTGAATTTTTGATTGCTACACTGTCATTTCGATCAAACTTCTGGTACTGTCTTTCCCATTAACTTGAACGAGTTGAATGTTGTTGGAAATATTCCACGGGTCCATGTACCTGCGTATTTACAGCTAAAAAATACCGATTCGAGGTAAAGCAGCGGCGCTTGCATACTCGCTCGGTCACGCGGTGAAAGAACTAAACGCGCGTTCTCAGCAACATGCTAATGGTAGACGAACCAGTAGAAGTAACACAGGAAGGAAGCGTCCTAGACCGCTGCTACTGAGTTGTTTAATTGTTCGAAATAAAAAGTCGGATTCTTTTCAGTGTTCGATTCTATTACTACATCTATATGGATGAGAAACTGATCGGAAAAGGAGATATTTTTTTCCAGCGCAGTGACCTTTCAACGAGTTTTTGTACACAATAGACAATATGCAAATGTGAAAATCAAATGATATGACTACCTTCTTTTGTGGATGAGGCTTCTTGAACAACTGTGTTGGAATCTGCCCAAAATTGTTCACAAAACCTGAATATAACATTTGTAGTGAAGATCTACATTTCCCAACCACTTATAGACTGTCTTATTGACTGCGAAGGACACATCAAATCGTTTGATAGCTACCAGCTTTCCGCAATGACGCTCAAATCTCAAATAGAGACACTTTCCCAAGCGCACTACAAGATCGCAAGTTCACAGTACTACAGTGCGTTTCAAAAGTATGTGCACACCCTCAAAAATTCACGGAAACAATCCGGATTTCAGCTGGCGCCAGTGCCTTTGTTTTTGAATAATCGTGTTAAAGGTAATCCAATTTGTTGGCCAGTCCTACTTTTCTTAAGCACATGGATGGCATTTTCCGAATTGAGTTCCTGTTGGAAGAACGAGGACTAACTGAATTTCATGAAGAATGTACAATGAAAATTTAATGACGAGAGCCAGTGTTCGTTCACGGGTTCTTTAAGGCCACTTTTTGCGGCTCAACTCAAGACTGGAGACATTTCAGGCTTGCGCTATTCACTGAACATCTGAGAAGTGAGGCCCCTGTATCCACATTCTAACGTATAACGACAGTGAGAGCCGGCTTACGACTAGTCCAATAGACCTTTAAGAAACCAAAGCTTTGCGCGCACTGGCATGAAGGTTTCCAACCAAGGCCTAAGAGAACATAATCCCAATCAAAGCAGACACAAGGACCGCCTGCAATTAGGCCGGCGGAGGCAGGGTCAATCCGTCACATTCCACTTTTCCAAATGTTGGCGATACGCCTCTCGCCCTTGAAGGGTAAGTTCTATTTGTACTGTCTCAGGCGGCCACAGCAGATTGCTCTGGGTGAGAAACCCCGGATGGGAAGGAGCAGGACGCTGGCAATGGCAATCTCTATAAGTCCCCATCAACAGGAAGAAGGTGATTGGAATGGTATGGAGGGAATTCCAATGATGATTGACCATGGCTCTTAATGAAAACGCTGGTAAGGGAGTAAAGTGGACCAAAGCCAAGTATATAAAGGAACAAATGCATGACAACGAGCGATATGTATATATCCATAATGAGTAGCGCTTCCATGTTAGACTGAAGGCCAGATAAGGATAATGCCGCACCTATTTAATCTCTGGAGTAGTCCCACCAGTCGCAGGGTCCGTTGCATCTGTGAGAAGTTGCTACTCTACTCTTCTCCACTGGCATCTTCTTGCACTGCACCACGGCCGCAGTGACATCATAGTTTTAGACTATGTCCAGCCCGTCCAGCCACACAGCTCTCCCAGCTTCTCATGTTTAAACCGGATGAAAGGCCTATTGTCTATGCTCAGCACTTGCAAGGCTTTACGCCCTATCTAGTACACCTTTCTTGAGCGTTCTGGAGCAGAGGGTGGGGCAGCTTACTGACAGCAAGAATTTTCAGTATACTCTCTCCACTGTTGAGGACAGGTGCGATTCTAGCAGCGTATGCAACACAATCCGCCCCTTTTTAAGACACACAGCGAGAGCTCCCAATGGAAACTAAGAAACTTCCGGAACTAAGTGTTTCGAAGCCTTCCTTGCAATCCAATATTTCTACTTAACAGGTCGGAAGCCAACCACAGCTTTTGATTTTCGTGCTAATGAATATAAGACAGAACTATAGCTGGCCAGCAATGTTAGACAATTCCTTGTGCGCGTCTTTCTCCTATATAGGGAAGTACAATTTGTCTCAATCCTTCTTCCTCAACCTACCAGCAGTCAATAGCCACACATCACACGCTGGTACCACATGACAAAACTATTGAAAGTAGTGGTTGATGTCCGGGACGATGTCCAAACAAACAGGGACAGCGATCCTTAAAAAGGCGCTAATGACTGATCCCTCAGCTTGTCTGAACCGAAATAGCTATATTTTTCACAATTGTGAGTTTCAACCGCAAAATCTTCTTCTTATAATGTTTGCAGGAAACAAAAGGGTCATTTTTTATGCTTTGGGCCATAAGGTGACTTCATTTTAGCGTAATAGGATTTTGAAGTGATTCCGCGCGGTGTTATTTCAGCTTTTGCAGTTTGAAAATCTTTCAGGTCGTGTTCCGTCTTTCCTATTCACTCAACGACAATAATTTCAACTGGATAGGCGTATGTATAATAAAACAGAATCATATATTACCCCAAGGTTGCTACATCATTAGTAGGTTGAAAATTAGCACGCTCGCATGGCTACTTTTCCCTGATATATGGCAGCACTCGAAATATAGGCTTACATTTTCTTGAACACCCGGTCTATGCCCGGCTACGGTGAATTGTGCTAGGTGACTGCGCTTTCTTTTCCGTGAATGTGGATGGCAATTTCTAGCCGTCTAAACAAGTCAGCTTACCATCATATCAATGACATCAACTCGAGCTGACTTATGATAAGGGATTGAGATTCCATCCTTATGGCCCAAAAAATTAGCTCTAACCAACGTGCTAGCCCCCAACAACTTTAGGGTGATCCATTTACGGGTATTTCTTGATTTGTGATGAGTACATCACGGTGGCCGAATCGGCAAGCCTTATTCTGTCACCGGGCTAAAACGCAAGGAAGGCTCCTTTCAGTGTGCCAAGCTTTTTTCTCAAACCGGTCTTTTTGCATGATCTAGAGGCTCATGCGGGAGCACAGAACCCTGAATTTTCTCTGAAGCGGCCTCTGAATACCAGAAAAGGGGGTATCTCCTAGTCACAACTTTTTGACCAGTTTCTTTCATCAAGCTATTTGTAAGGGTTCTCGACGTTTTCTTTCCATCGAATTTGGTACTAATTCATCCAAATGAGCTTTTATTGGCTTTATAAAGACCAAAGATCACTGAGGGTAAGCCGTGTTGGGTGTGGCGGGCCTTCGCCTATACCTTGGTTTAGTTAGCGCATACCGCTGCGTCAATTCCCAATGCAGATCGTTGGCCCTTGCGAGGTGATTTGTCAGGCAGAGGTACGGACATTTCGTTTAGTAATGAGGTGACCTAAAATAGGAATCCCAGGTTCCATGGCTGCGTTCAGAAGAGATGTGTACGCCTAAATGTGCCTTCGAGGCTGATTTCATCTATCGTCCAAATCTACTGAACAATGCTTTTGAACGGAGTTGTGAAGCAAGAAGAGCGCTTACGGTAAGTGATCGAGGCTCACACCTCAAACATCTTAGGACCGACTCCTATCGTGTCAACTGCCTTGTTTTCCTTTCAGGCCCTGAACGGCTGGGAGGCTGCTAAAAAGCCGGAGAATCACGAAAGGGTAATTCAACTACAACTTGACTGTAAGTCCGGACCTATTAGGCACTGCGGGACTATTTTGCTCAGGCACTACTCCGTCTTCGAGTTTTGTTTGGCAGATATATGAAAGGCAGATTTGGATCAGGGTTTGGAAGCACATTAGGCGTATGCATCTCCTCTTGATGGCCATGCGACCTGGATTCCTTTCCTGTCCATCCCATGTTATGGGTGGATTATAATTGTGGTATCCCATTTGACGAGTCCCGCTTTCACTGTCCAAAAAACGCTCCAGTTTAATGCTAGCGAGATACCATAATAGTACTAATATAGTTTTCCTTCAGTTGAAAACGCATCCTTACTTTAGTTAAATGATGAGAATTGGCCCACTGATTTTGGCATCCTCTGAAGCAAAATAAAGTGAAGAAAAAAAGAGTTGTTTTTTTCAGGATACTCTCTGATCGTGCGTGTTCGTTTGTGGCAGCGGACTATACGAACTATGTCGCAGTGAGGCAATGTTCTCCAAAAACTATTTTATTCATTTGTAAAGATAAACTTGTCCACAGAGAGCACATTTCCGGTTTTCATTAAGTTACGCGCAACTGTTTTGTTTCAGCCTGACCTGTACGACCTATTATGGCCTCTTCCAATACCAATTGTGCCGGTCTAGTACCTCCTGCCGATCTATGGTGGATATTATCTTCTACGGACTCAAAAAGTGAGGCAGCAGGATCAAAAGAAGAATCAAGCAATCTCAATAACGATTCAATCCATGATTAATGAAATTGTAATACGTTGAGATATCCGATTATAATTAAGTTA